CAACGCGAGATGTTCTAGCCGTTGGTGTTCTGCAGCGTGATTGATTTCGTGATTCGAGGTTTCACCGTCGGGCCATGGACGTGTTGCCTATATGCATTTAATCTGGAACCCATGCACGACATGGTTTTCAGCCCTACCTCAGGCATTGGCTTGGAAGTCCTCACTGCTAGTTTATACAACAGGGCGGTTGACTAGATGAAGCTGCGAGTCAGACCAATAGAAGCAAGGTTAACGAGGGCACCAGCGGCGTCCGACCTCTTTCGAATCAGATGGCAAAATAAGGAACTTTTTAACTTCCGGACTGTCGTTTTTCTTCATACTCGTGGTAAGACCAAAATTTCTGTCATTTTCTTAATGAACTTGATACCGAAACGCTGATCTCCAGTTCTGTGCCATCAACCAAAAGTGCTTTATTTAAACGCAGAATCGACAGCAGCCACTTGGCAAGCATCGTGTGTAGTGTTTTGTTTCCTTCCCACAGAATGGTACTCAGTCATTAACCTCACAAGGAAGAAATGCGAGTTATTCTGACCGGGGCTCGAACTCGAGAACTTTTCGATTTGATTCCAACGCTTTTTCCGACTCAGCAGTTGCGATCTAATGGAATAGTACCACGGTTGAGGAAATCGGCTCTTTCAAATGAAGAAATCTGGAGAACTGCACGGAGTACAGCGAAACTGGACAACGACTCTTATGCAGCCTCGAAACAACAGTAGTTTTTAACCGCCTGTGAGATGAACGGAATCGCATTTACCCGCGCATCTTCCTCAAAAAATCCGTTAGTATCATCGAATAACAAACGATCGTGTAATCAAAACCGTCGGAGTGAAGAAGGTGTCTGAAGGACGGCCTGCTGGCTCTAAACTGCTGCAGACGAACAAAAAAAACTTCTGAAACTCATTTGCGTCTATCCTTAAAAAATGCCCTCGATATACTGTCCGAAACGTCGGTACTGATCAGTGATTCGATTCAATGAACTGTACTATATGCATGGTGTAGAAGTATATCATGTCTTTTGCTGTTTAACCTGCGCTGCGAAGTATTCTCGATATCTGCTATGATTAAATCGATATTTGAAGCTTCCCTGAATTTGTTGTAATATTTTATGTACTAGACTAAAGTCTACCATAGACTATTTTTTACTTTTAAATTATTATTAGACTAAAATACACCTTGCGTTCGAGATTTACATTTTCATTGAGCAGTGAACAGTGATGAACAGCAGTACCTGTTCACTACTTTTTACATCTCAATAACTGTGTTCTCCACAGTAATTTACTCTAATTAGTTTCTACACCAAGCCGATGATTTGTCTCCCTCTGTAGCTGATAGTCTCAGAAGAGTCGTT